GATCTAAATTGTGTTGAAAGTGTAAAAACACCTACATTTAATTTTAAAAGAAGAAAAAAAAAAACATTTGCAGCCAATTTCTTTAGTAAATTCATGTAGGTAAAATAGGCATGACCTGATAGGCTACATTATGCCAGTTTTCTCTCTACGGGGGTTGTAGTGAGGAACATACACAAGTATGAGAATGAGAGTGAACAAGAGTGAGTGAAAATTGTGTTCGCCCATCAATGAGTGTTCCTGTTCAACAAGTCACCTATCCCTGTCTGCTGCCTATAATTAATTCTCTCTCAGGTTAGTGAAGTGTCCAATGAGAAGCACAGTGGTCTGCCGATGCCTCGAGACCTATAAAATTTAATATAATATACTGTCCCCGTCGTTTTAAGCAAGAAAAATTATGAAATTATGCAAACTGAGCCCAAAAATGTTAAATTATGTGATTCTGTTAATTTTAACAAAGAATGATGAAGGAAAATAATCAGAAATTTTATGCAAAAAAAGATCAAATTTTGCTAAATTATGCGGGATGCATAAAACCACAGGGACAGATAATAACTGTTCCAGGAGGTAGGCCAGTCAACTACATGTATATATATAGTCCAAGCTGTCTCAAACTGCCACACATTGAGGAGGAGAAAAAGTGGTGGTCTTAGGCAGCAGGATATCTTACACTTACACAGTGTCATTGTAATTGTAATGTTAAAAAACAAACTGTAAGGGGCGAGTGATGAGAAATGGCTCTTTGTACAGATGATTGTCTTATACTTATAAATACAGGTGACTGTTAGAGGAAGTTCGACTGTACATGTAGTATGTAATGAGAAATGAAAAAAAACACCCCCCCCAAAAAAAAGAACTACACACTGTTGTACGAAAAAATCACAAGTAATGAGGTATATTATTCTGGGTTTTTTAATCCAAAGTCACAATTCAACATACCGGTACAATTCATTTCTGTAAGTTATGCATAACAACAATAATAATATAATAATATGTTATGTACAATATAGGCCTAATATTTTTATATGATAATGGCTCAATTTGAAAAAAAAAAATTTTTACAGACAGAAAGGTGATTCACACAAATGCGCAAGAAGTTGCAGTTGTTAACATAAAAACTTTAAAAAACCATCAACGGTGTGGAGTGCGCCATGACCTACTAGGCTACTTCAGTGACGTTCTGTACAACTTTTTCGCCATCATCCCTTGCCCCGAAGTATACATTGATGGTGTTATACGCTTTCATCATGATTAAATCTAACTTTTACTTTTCCAATCAAGCGGCCATTTGGGTTCTAGCCCTTCGGTCTGTCGATATGGCAAAGAAGATTAAATCTAACAACATAGGTATTAAGTGGCTCTTGAGGCCAAGAGGTTAAGGTTTTCGCCTCTCCTTACAGCTGTCTTTCAGCCACACCCCTGATCTTCTGGTACGAAAGATCTACACCTAGCTTTCTCGGACAACGGCGAAAAATCTCGAAGGTCTCGTGTTCAAGTCGGCCGCCACCCGGGCAAAATTGAAAATTTCCTACTAACTGAAAATGTTTCATGTGTCCCGCGCGCTCATATGACCTTATGCAGTTGCGAGCTCTGTAAAACACTTACCCAAAAAAAAAAAGGTATTATTGTTCATGTATACAGGCACATTGTCTTTTTTAACAAATCCTACACTGAAAATTGAAATCATACCTAATATAATAACAATAATAATAAATATATAGCATTTGTAGGCACATTCCTGCTCAGCAGCAAGCTCAATGCGCCTTACACTATACATGTATCATTACCCAGCAGACCATAGAGCACTCAGAAACATTCTCAGCTTCCCGGGAAGCGTACTGTGCAAGATGCTGAATAAGCACTCAAACACTAACAAACTGACAAGATTTTCCACTGTCTACAGCTGGGTACTCATTCCCATCTGGGTAAAGTGAAGAAAATTCATGTAAAGTGCCTTTCCCAAGGACACATGTCGGGCTCATAATCGGATTCGAACCCATGGCCTTACGTTTGCCAGTCTGAGAACCTAACCACTAGGCCATCGACATCACAACGTTACGGGAAAATATACCAATGCGTTGTGCTATCGTAAAGCCTGCCACAGGAGGAGGAGGAAGAGGTACATATCACCTCTCTGTGCATGTCTCTTTTTAGCTGGAGATTTCTCAAGAACGCTTTAACAACACTTTAAGTACCGTTGGGGACTTAAGTCACCAGACCGTAGTATACGCTCATGACCGCTGACGATTATATTAAAGTCTCTGACTTGACCAGGTACACTAAACATAAACAACGGACAGAGCCACGGCACTAAAGTAAATTTACCAAAGAAAGTCACTCGATGTGATAGCTGAATGGTTGATGAACCTCAGTGAATTTTTAAAGCATGTTTCTTGGGCTCGGAAGGTTTTTGTAATTTTTAAAAAATATACCATGGTTTCAGCATTCTACACTGGTGCGGTACTTGAGGGTTCTTCACTATATATAGCGACCTCAGTGCTTTCTTGTCGTATCTCCATTTTTAATATCAGTGAAAACAGTTCATAACAAAGAGTGAGCTTAAGAAGAAGTCACATTTTCAAAAATGGAGATACGACGAGAAAGCACTAAGGTCACGAATATGAGCCTTCAGTACTGTAAGTGTAACACTGGAACAGAGGGTTGAGGGCGTACACCCTGGGCGGTGCGCGCAGCTAGGGCAGCAGGGGCTCGGACTGCTAGTGCTGCATTCGCTGCCTGGAGTATTCTGCGATGCTGCCAGCACAGTTCTTGTGACTCCCTCTTTCTCTGCGACAAAGGTGCCATCCACTGGCAAATATTAGCAGCTGACTACATCTTTGAAGAGGCATCATGTTCTTAGTTTAGTTTTAGTAGAGTTTTTACTGCGCAACTGCATAAGGTCATATGAGCGCCAAGGGGTGGATGTCAACAGAGAAGTTCATACAGGGGATCAAGCTTACTCTGCTCACCTCTCTAGCTTCAACAGCACAAAGTGTGCACAGGCACAGTTATGAGCATGACATTGATGAATCAGCCCATTTACAATTTTACTGTGCATAAGAGCATTTTATGTTCCCCCTTTGGGAATGGCCTAAAGACACTTCAGTCAATAGCACCGCCCCGGGGGGTAGAGGTACCGTGTGTCCGAATAGGAGGAGTCGATGTGAAGAGATGCAGGGGGACACACAATCAAACTGACACTGAATTATTCAGTAAATATGATTGAAAGTATTGAAAGACATATATAAAAATACTGTATATATATACTATCACTCTGGCACACACAAAAAGATTTTTCCTCATACCATTTCATCATGAGACAGTTTCTTACCCTCCCCCCCCAAAAAAAAATATTTTAATAATAAAATAATAAATATAAAAATAAATAGTGAAAACCATATATATATAACAGGCCCGGTAATAACAGGGATCCGGTAATAAACACAGATTTTTTAAATTCCCGTTTTTTCCTACTCTTTGTCTCTATCAAAAGTTATCGGCAATAACAGGACCTAATTGGAGCCCAAACGGTAGCAGGGACAAACGCTCGTTAACAATGTGTGTAATAAGTAAGAGAGAGAGAGAGAGAGAGAGAGAGAGAGAGAGAAGTTATGTAGATCTAAGCCTACTTCTTTCATTATGGCCATCAACGATGTCAAGTGCAAGAGAAAATGCCTTTCAATTGACAAAAATACACGAAATAACCCAGGCTGTTGACTAAAAGCAAGCTCCACTGGCAGAAATTTGTCGTCAGTTCGACATTCCACAAGGGTCGATTCACATCATTATCAAGAATAGAGAGAAAATAGTGGCAGCATACTCCAATGGAAACTTTGTTCTGGATCGAAAGAAGATGAGACTACCTGATGCAGATGCTGTGGACCAAGCTCTTCTGATGTGGTTTAAGGAGGCAAGGAGAAAGTTTGCGCCAAAACCCCTGTTTGTGGGTACTTGTGGCAAGGGAAACTACCCATGAATAAGTACAGCTGGATTAGTCCACAAATGCTTACATTCCTTGCATTTCTGATTTAACAGGGATCGGATATAACAGGACATTTTCTCTTCTCCCACCATCCCTGTTATATCAGGTTTCCACTGTAAATAAATAAATAAATAAATAACAAATAATACATAAATAAAAAATAACAAGATTAAAAGATATATTGCTTCCTAAGGCATACACATCAAGAGACATGAGGGCAAAGATTTGCCCAGTGTCCTGAAGGGTGACCAAACATTCTGGCATGAAATGATTATATAAATCAATTCTGCTCATTTGGCACAGATGGGAGGGTTACATTCTAGGAAAAGCAAATTATTTGAAACTTGAAATATCTGGCAGGGAGGTTGTCAGTAATGTGAGTTCAGTGTCTAGGATGAACTATTATTCTAGATCTAGGCTTATCAGTTTCAGCCAGAAAAAAGCTGAGATGGAACTACTTTGTTGAATGTTAACATCATGAGTTATGTCTGTAACAGGGCATAACTTTCTTTAAAAAGTCAGAGTCCGCAATGTTTGAGTCTTTTGAATTTACAGTCCAAATAATACTGTTCAAGACATAATAATAATAATAACTGCATTTATATAGCGCATATCCATACTCAAGAGCATGCTCTATGCGCTTTACAACTATTAATACCCCAGCAGACCCTCTGAGAACACTCAGAAACATTCTCAGGTTCCGAGGAAGCATACAGTGCAAGCTGCGGATTTCACACACTCAAACACTATCAAACTGACAAGATCTTTTCACTGTCTATAGCCGGGTACCCATTTCTACCTGGGTGAAGTGAGGAAAATTTGTGCAAAGTGCCTTTCCCAAGGACACAACGTCGGGCCCCTGACGGGATTCGAACCCATGACCTTACGGTTGCGAGTCCGAGAGCCTAACGACTAGGCCACCCACGCCATAACATGTAGAGTGTTGTGAGATTCATGTGTCCAATACGACCGATAAAGAGTTACGATCATGAATTAACAAACTGTAGCAATGAGAATAATGAAACTTTCACTTCACAGAAGCGCTTTTATACAAATTGGTTGGCCTATGACCTTTCTGATGTCGGTGGAGGAGCTGAAGGGTCTTGAATGGAGCGTCACACACTTGACAGCGATGTGCCACCTCATTGGTGTGTTGGGCTGTGTGTATTGACAGGTCCTCCACCGAGGCGAACCGATCCCCACACGCCTCGCACTTGAACTGCATTTGCCCAGGATGCTGTCGGTGCTGGTGCATCACAAGAGTCTTTTTGTTCTTGAACGATTTGCCGCAAAAACACGACCACTGTCGCCCGGTAGCATGAGTGGCTTTATGCGCATTCAGTCGTCCAATAAAAGGAGACGCGTAGCCACATATATCACACTTGTGAGGTTTCTCACCCGTGTGAAGTTTCCGATGCAAGTTGAGACTGCCTTTGGTCTTGAACGCTTTCCCGCACGTCTCGCATTTGTGAGGTCGCTCTCCCGAGTGTATTATCATGTGTGATGTGAGTTTATACTGCACGTTAAATCCCTCGCCACACACGCTGCACATAAACAACATCTCTTCCCCGTGGGTGGCTCTGTGTTGGTTCAGTCCCGTGCTGTACTTGAAGGTCATCCCACAGATCTCGCACTTGTAGGGGCGTTCTGAGGTGTGGGTCTTAAAGTGATTCTTCAAACACCACTCAGACTTGAATGTTTTGCCGCAAATACCGCACTGGAACGGCCTCTCCTCAGTGTGTGTGAGCAAATGAGCTTTGAGGGAGTTCCTCAGGGCAAAAGCACACCCACATACGTCACACTTGTACGGTTTTTCTCCCGTGTGTGTCCTTTTGTGACGTCGTAGGTTGGTTCTCTCAAAGTACGCTTTACCGCAAACTCCACATTTAAAAGGCCTTGGGCGAGAATCACCGTCTTTCTGCCCACCTTTCCTCCCTCCCTTCCCCGACGTCACTGACGCTGGTTCGGCGTTCAGTTCTTCTAGTTCATCGTCCATTTCATCCTCTTGTTCGTTGTGCTCCTGCATGTGGAAATTGAGATCTGAGAGACTGTAGAAAGCCTCTCCACAAACATCACAGCTGTGCGACGCTCCCAGTAGGTGCTGTCTCTCATGGTCGTTGAGGTACATCTGTTTGTTGAAGCCGCGGTCACAGAATCGGCACTTATATTTCCGTCTCAGAGTCGACTCTGCCAACTGGACCAAGACGGTGGCAGCTCTCTCTGCTGAAGTCTCTGAAGCACCGAGTGAGGACGCAGGGTCATCCAGACAAAGAACCATTGTGTCGTCACTGGAAGAATCGACAGGCACAGTTGTGCGGCTCATCAGTGAGACTTCAGTGGGGTTCATATTGGAGCTTTTGTCATCCACTGTCGCAGGACTGCAAGCTACATTCCTCACACTGTCTGTTATCATCACGGAATTGCTTACATCTTTCAAACTGTCACCACTCCTATCTGTTACATTCTCATCTGTGGTGGTTAATTGTTTTTCCCTCTCTGAGAGCAGCAGGAATGTCTTTTCATTTTCAGTCACATTGATAACTTGGCCGCTCTCATTTGGTCTGAATATACTTTTGTCAATATACGTGTCTTTCCGCACAATCGTATCTCCTTCATAATTGGATACACCAAGTCCATGTGACTTACTTCCAACTTGCAGCACGATTGGTTCGTTCTGGGGCTGACCAGAGGGAGTCATGTACTCAGCAGGGTATTGATTGAGTGGTGTATGGGTGGCACCAGGGAACTCTGTACTGTTGACATAATAAGCTGTTTCAGGCAATATATGAAGGCCTGTGTCAGAGCTAGAAGCACTGTGTGAGCCGGCGGGGGGCTGGGACACAGCGATGTCAACGTGGTCCTCCCCACAGGCTTGTACTGGCTGTTGTCTCTCTGACACCCGAGGAATGTCTCCACCTCCCATCTTGTCACCGTTGGACCTACACAGATTTTGAGACGAGTTGTCAAGATTTATGAAAACCAGGTTTGCTTCTGTGCCATCCTTACTGTGGCTGACGTCAGTATTAGGATGAGAAGTAACACAGGGCTCCGTATGGGAGCTGTGACCTTGATCTAAAGACACTCTGTGGACCGGAACAGGAGGAGACCTGCCAATCTTACTTGTAGTAGAGTTCTGTTTTTGATTCAGAGTTGTGTGCCCATGGTTCTGTACAACATTTAAAACATCGTTCACAGCTGTATTTGAGTCTTGGTATTGCACTCTATCACAGTCCTGGTTCAGTACTACATTTGAGACTTGTTTTGTCTCCTGAAATGTCCCACTTTGCTGTCCAGCAGAGGAAGCTAGACCTGACACCTGGAGAGTCCTACCCTGCTGTTGCTCCGTATCCAAGCCCTGACTGGTCTCAAACAATGCTTCTTGATTTCCTTTCAGGTCGGTCATACCGTTGTTTCCCTCCAACATGTCACGACACTGGTTCATCGGTGTACCGCAATTACTGACCCTTGCTGTAGTACTACAAACATTCTGCTTCATGTTCCAGCTCACACCTTGGTTGGAGGATGAGCCAGACGCTTTGTGCTCCAAACCTGCCCCTACCACAAAGTGAGAAGCAAAAGAAGGCAGTGGGGTGCTTGGCGAAGGAGCTGCTGCTACTGCAGATGTCTGGCTGACAGGAGCTTCATTGAGATGGGAGTTTTTGGCTGCAGATCTGGGAAAAATGGCACAAGAATGTGAACTGGGTGCAGACTCTGAACTGCCTGGTCGGAGCAAAAAACCAGAATCGTCATAATCCATCGTGGTAGGAAGAGACACAGGGGGAACCAAGAGTTGGGCAGCGGGTAGATGGCCGTCTTGAACACTCAATGACTCTTGTGAGGAAACCGACAACTGCGTCACGCCAGGAGTTTGGGCCGGTCTCGAGATGGAATCACAAGGTAAGAGGGACGTACGAGGAAGCTGGGTGGCTTCAGACGCGAAAGAATTGTTCAACGTTGCGACAAGACTTCCATTTGCCTCAGTCTCTGACGATGTGGAGTTCATGGGGACAGAGGTGTGAGGAAGATGAAGGGGGCCGTTCAGTATAGAAGACTTGGCTGTCGATGAATACTGAGGTACTGTAATATCCCTGGGAAAAGTAGCATTGGACGGTAGCTCCGACACAACAGCTGACGAGGAAATCATTGGGGGTTTCTCCACAAGATTTACGTCTGAGCTAGTGGAAGGAAATGAACTCACTCCAGAGTTGGTACAGAGATGCTGTTGAGGCTGCGAGTAATTATCATGATGAAGCTGCGTGTGATGTAGCTGACAGACCTGCTGATATGCATGTTGCTGCTGCTGCTGTTGATGAGAGTGCTGCTGAGGCTGATACATTTCGGGCTGCTGATTTTGTTGCTGCTGGGTCAAGTCAACCTGGGGTATGCTGTCCAAGCAGGGCACCACCTTACGATGTTTGTTCCGATGTCGGCGCAGAGACTCGGCGCTCATAAATGCAGCGCAGCAAATGTCACACGTGTGATTTGGCAGGTCTCCGTGGCTGGCAACATGCAAGGTCAAGGCCTCCTGTTGCGCAAAGTTCTGGCCACACTGACTGCAGGTGAACATTGAGCTCCCCCGATGCTGCCTCTTCTCATGGCAGACAAGGTTGCTCTTTGTCTTGAATGCCTTCCCACAGTGGCAGGCGAACGGCCGCTCTTCTCTGTGGATCAGCTTGTGCTTCTTGAGCTGACACAGGAACACATACTGCTTACCGCACACATCACAAACGTGCTGTTTTCCTGCAGAGTGCACGACGCGGTGCTCTCGGAAAGAGCGAACCGATCGAAATGTCTTACCGCATGTTTCACACGTGAAAGGTTTCTCGCCAGTGTGTTTGGCCATGTGGGAGAGGTAGTTATCTTTGGTGTTGATGCCCTGGTCACAAATGTTACATCTGTACAACTGCTTCCCCGTGTGATTTCTACGGTGATGAAGCAATGCTGTCCGGCTTTTGTAAGTGACACCACACGTCTCACACTTATGAGGCCTGGCCGACGTATGCGTCTCAAGATGAGCATTCAGACAGTTCTTGTACTTGAATTGTTTGCTGCAAAAACTGCACTGGAATGGGCGCTCCTCCGAGTGAGTCATCCGATGGGTGAGCAGACCGTTCCGGAGAGCATACGCCGCACCACAGATCTCACACTTGTACGGACGCTCACCCGTATGTTTTCTCATATGCCTCAGGAGGTAACGTTTCTCCGAATAAGCCTTTCCACACTTGTCACACCTCCATGGTCTGTCCGTTGAGTGTGTCCGCTGATGTTTCTTCAAGTCATCTTTCGTTTTAAACTTGCTAGTACAACCGGCAAAATCACACTTGAACGCCCGTTCACCTGTGTGCGACAGTCTGTGATACTTCAGATTCTGCTTGAAGAAAAACTCCTCCCCACACAAATCACACTTGTAAGCACGCTCCCCCGTGTGCATACGTTTGTGATCTTTAAATCGCGTGGAGTCGTTGAAGGTCTTGTCACATTCGGTGCATTTGTACAGACGCTCACCAGTGTGAGAGAGCATGTGCATGCGTAGATACGTGTCTCGGGCAAATGACTTGTCACAGAGCTCACACTGGTGAGGTTTCTTCTCCTCGTGTTGAACACGATGCAGCGCCAGAAGGGATGGATAGCGAAACGTTTTATCGCAGATCTCACAACGATGCTCTTTCTTTCCACTTTTATCATAAGTATGAGTAGATGTTCTCAGGTGCCTGTTCAACAAATTTTTACTTCGAAATTTTCGACTGCAAATAGAGCAAACATGGTCTCCATCTGACTTGACCTCTTGCTTGTCGGGTTTCTCATCTGTTTCTTCGATAATTTTTTGTTGCACTTGTTTCAGCTTCTGTGTGCCAGATGAAGACTTTCTAACAGCAGGCACTTTTCTGACGTCCTTCCTCTTCCTCCTTCCCTTTGAGCTTTTATTTCCATCCTTTTCATCGCTTTCTTCCACAGCGCTATCCCCGCCAACCTGAAGAGACTTCCTCGCTCCAGTCCTCATCGGCTGCTGTTCATCATTCGACACAACATCCATTTTTTGAGCTTTTCTCCTACCTCGCATCACACGGCCCTCTGGTTCCTTGTGACTCACATTCAAACCTTGGTCCCTAACATTTTCACCATCACTTGCCCTACAGTCTGACAAGATCACATTATCGGCATGAATGACCTCAGATTTTACAACCCCCTTGAGATTTTCGTCTGCCCACTCTCTCCCGTCGGCAGTTCTCAGAGAGCTATTGGTTGCCATAACTCCAGCAGTGTCTTCTAGATAACACTTTGACTGGCAACACTTATGACTTGTGTCATAAATGTCAACTCAGCTCCCTTCATCATCCTTCATCTGACACACCATCCACCCTTAATTCCACAGTCGTTATTTGCTATTTTAAACAAAGAATTCCCGACAAATTTAGAAAGGGGAATAGTGTTTGTAGGTATGACTGATGACAAGACCAAACATAAGTTCCCGACACTGAATAAGAACTTTCAAGCTCAATAAACACACAGAGGAGAAAAATTCAACAGTTCAGCATTCCTGCCCTGACATCTCCTGTTCTCTTCTCATATTTTTATATCTCATAGAGGACACATGGAACAAGAGGATGAAGAAGCTGCCTACTCAATATCATGTTTGTGCTGAGCTTCGTCGGACGAGAGACTGCCAAATGATGGATGATTTCTTTTCCTGAAAGTCAAAACAAAAAAAACAAAAACTATGATAAATTATTATGCTGATCTTAATGAAGCTGTGAATATAATATCAAAACCAAAATTCTAATTTTGATTTTACAATTTAATTCATTGTAGCCTACTTTACCTTGTGTTGTCTCTCACACCCTTACCATCGAAACCGTCGCTAAGAAATTTGAATTCAGTAACGTGTTTACAATCAAGCAGCTATATCATCAGAAAATGCATCAAAGAGAGACCAAATTAGGGATGACCATATATATTATTTTAAATTTTAATGAAATGAGAGAGTAGAGGAAAAAAAATAAAGTAAAAATAAAATCTCGGGGGTAAAGGGGGGGGCCGCCCTATTTTAACCCAATTTGGTATTTTGCAGTTATAACTTCCATCATTAATAAGTCTCTTCAGTCTGGAGTAGTACCATCACTTTTTAAGCATGCTTTAGTTATTCCCCTTCTCAAAAGATCAAATCTTTCCCCGGAGGAGCACAAGAATTTCAGACCTGTCTCCAACCTTCCCTTTTCATCAAAAATCATGGAGAAAGTTGTTTTGATTCAATTGAAGAATCATTTAAAAGAAAACAATTTATATGAATATCAATCTGCCTATCGGCAATTTCATAACATAGAAACTGCGCTTATATTGAAAATATAACGACCTCTTGTGTGAGGCGGATGAGAACAAAATATCAATTCTTTCTCTTCTTGATCTTAGTGCTGCCTTTGACACTATAGATCACACTATTCTTATTGAACGATTGTTCAACACGTTTGGCCTGTCTGGCAGGGTTCTTGACTGGTTCAGGTTTACCTGATTGGCCATACACAATCTGTGGTTGTACACGACTCTCTTTCGTCAATTTTTAAGCTAGACTTTGGAGTGCCTCAAGGTTCAAGGGTCCAATCTTGTATACGTACACAGCCGCTTGGAGCTGTGATCAGAAAGCACAATATGAATTATCACATGTACGCAGACGATACACAGTTATATCTGTTCCACCATCAGATGTTAAAACCTTGCTTACTACCATGGGTCTGTGCATTGATGACATTAAAAAGTGGATGGTTGAAAATAAGCTCCAGCTTAATGAAAATAAAACTGAAATTCTTTTATATGTAACCCAAAGAAAAGCCATCCCGTAGACATTGATCATTGTGTACTGAAAATGAAAAACTGTACTTTACTTAATACAAAAACAAAATATCTGGGAGTGTATTTTGATTCAAAATTGTCAATGGAACATCATATCAATTAAAATTCATGTTACCGTTTTATTTTGTGAATTGCGTCGACTATGTTTTTGAATGAGCACTCGTTGAAAACGCTCGTGTCATCTATCTTGTTTTCACGCATCGATTATTGCAATGCTTTACTAGCTAACACATCAAATACCACTCTTCACAAGTCACAACGTTTTCAAAATCATGCTGCTAGGCTTGTACTAAAGAAAAAGAAGAGGGACCACATTACTCCTATGTTAAGAATGTTGCATTGGCTTACCGTGTCAGATAATATATATATATATATAAAATTGCAATGTTATGTCATAAATGTGTCAATAACAAAGCCCCCTCATATATCTTAGAGATCTCATCCAGATTTATGTTCCATCTAGATCATTAAGAATAAAGATCAGGCGATCAGTATCTTTGAAGAGTTCCTAGAATAGGGGGTAAAAAATTAGCTGAAAGATCGTTCGCCCACCTTGCTCCGTCAGTATGGAACTCTCTTCCCCAACCCTTGAGACATGAGAACATCTCCTGAGTCTAAATTTAAAAAATCTTTAAAGACACATTTAATGACATACTTTTTATGTCAGTAGATTCATGTTCAATACAATAATGACTATGTTGTATCCATTTTTATGTATTTTGTGAATTGAATGGCATTGTGATATATATATAATATATTATTTTTTGCTCATTTCGTGATAATGTAGTGTAAGCATGCGCGTGTGATAAGCAAGTAGATGTGTGTGTGTGTGTGCGTGCGCATGTGTGTGTGTGTGTGTGTTTGGGGTACATGTGTGTGCACATGTGTGCATGTTATGTGTTCATGAGTGTGTATATAGGTGTGTTTGTGTGTGCGTTGTGTGTGTGTTTGTGTGTACGAGTGTGTATTTTTGTGTTAGTATAGCGTACTTGAATATTGTTCGTACATGCATTTTATGTAAAACGCCTAGAGCTGTGTTCACACGGAAAGGGGCGCCATAGAAATGATCTTCATTATTATTATTATTTAGATCTAGTTAGGTTTGAAATTTTCTTGAACTGATTTGCGACAGTTTTAGTGGCTTCATTATGTGTGCAATCTACAGCAAACAATACTGCAGTTTAATCCCCAAGGCAGTGCATCAGTTTATGAGGGAGTGAAAGTATTTCTAAATTAAGTTTTAAGACTGTTTTATTCAGCGCTTATCAAATTATTATAAAATAGAGATCTAACTCATTATAAATTCTCTAAGACGGCAGCTCCGCTCCTAACCAGTAGGCTACCATTATCAGCTCAATACTAGAAATTATATAAACTACTTTAAAATACACACACACACACACACACACACACACACCGGCCACTCCTTTCACAATAAATTATTATCATCAAATCTCGAGAACGGAAACCGTTCGGAGAAATAGAGTTCAAGTTTATTTTCCCGAACGTTCGGAGAAATAGACAGTTACAACTACAGTGTTAAAGTGCTGTAATTATGACAAAGTGGACTGGACCAGACCAGTGACAATTAAACTGGGCCTGTGGCAAACTGGGTAGCCCCCTTTAATTTTTACTTTAAATCGCCAGGTCAACTAAATGTTTATTTAGATCAGTCAGATAGCTTTAGAATTACCTCGTTATATTATAAATATTCTAGATCTAATCTAGATCTATCATCTAGGCTATGTACAGTACTGTACAAATATGTTGGTCTAACAAGGCTGTATCACCTCAGCCTCAGTCACCTGTTAACTGAGTAACTGTTAGTTAGTGTTATATAAAGACATTTCATACTGTGCGCATACAGTTTTATGGTGAATCATCTGCATCAATACATAAAAATAGACCTAGATCTAGATCTATTTTAATACTTATTTATAACAAAATAAATTAGATCTATACATATTATGTCACTCTATGACAGAACCTGACTTCTTGATAAACACAGAAAATTTTCCTTTTCATGCATCTCAGAGTTGCGCGAGCTCTTCTTTTGCTACTTGCAAAGTTTAATTTTCGTTCGCTGACTATCCAGACTTCTTAGCCCATTGCACAGAATTCTACACTAAGTGTAGAATTCTGTGGCCCATTGACTTCGTTGTTTTTATAAGTTACTTTTCGCCTCAAAGAAAAGGACCTTACCTTGTTTTAATTAACCTTTTGACCTTAAAGGAAAGTCTGCTTAGATATTTTCAAATATAATGTTCGGAATTATGCCAATTTCTCTCCCCCAACCCCAAATAGTATAATAAACTATATATTTACTTCAACAAATGAGATAGTTTTCACACGCAATAAGAAAATGTTTAAACACACGCTAAAAATATTAATTCTGAGATGAGCAAAATAATTGAGTAAAGATCGTGTGGTTGAAAGACTTTATCTTTATGCCTCTTTGGCTCGTAAAAAATGAAAGAGCACAACGTTGTATTATAGGCCTATAAGAATTTTTAGATAGACCAGATGTCATTATTAGCATTGAACAGATAGCAGGCTAGCTTATAGTAGACTGGTATGATTATGCCAAGAGCTAGAGAGAGAGAGAGAGAGGGGGCGAGAGAGAGAGAGAGAGAGAGAGAGAGAGAGAGAGAGAGAGAGATCCCCTCTATAACGTGTTCCACAGTTTTACGGTCGTAGGCCTATAATCATGGATCGTCGTTGGGTAGTCACATCAGCGCACCCTCCACAAACTCAACCTTATTCAGTAGGCTACTGTATCACTATCCGACATTTGCTTTTCTTGTTTGTTTTTGTAAAGTGTTTTACGGCGTTCGCAACTGCATAAGGTCATATGAGCGCGCGGGACACACTTAATATTTTCAGTTGGTAGGAAATTTTGAATTTTGCCCGCGTGGCGGCCGAAGCCTACTCTTATCGCTTTTAGACCACCAAGGGATCTTTAACGTGCACAACTTGCACACGGACCCTCCGAGATTTTCGCCCTTGTCCGAGAAGGCTAGGTGTAGATCTTTCCTACCAGAAGATCAGGGGTGTGGCAGAAAGACAGCAGTTAGGAG